CCTGGAAAATAATTCATTATAAAAAGGAACAAATTTTGAAAGTTGTAACCCCATTTCATCCTGAGATACTTTTATTAAACGCCACTATTCTGAACTAGGATTGAATATGTTAAGTGCTGCAAGGATTTTATAGACATTATTGGAAAAGATGTTTAAACCCTTCTGTTGAAGAATGGCTAAACAAATTGTGGGGATCTACTTCAGTGCTTAGATTAGCTGAAAGGAAATTGGATTTGGAAGTCAATTCTATTTGGAAACTTTTTTAGATGACAACTACACACGTGAAATGGTGCCATGTCCAACCTTGGGGTTTCAGAGTCTCTTTCTCTGACATATAATCTACCTATGATTTACAGGATTCTTTTAATGTATTGTTTATTATCTGTAGTTCTTCTCTTCCCATTTTGCTGACTCCAGTTTGTGTAAACCAAGTATCTTTACAGTTCAATAGAGACATGTTTCTTCACTAGAAATTGGGTATGAAATGTCTTGTAGTAGTTTAAGATGTATTAGTCATATGATAGTTTAGATTTCTCAGTTATCTACCCATATTAATTGCTTTTATCAGGGGTTTTAAAATTATTATTAACTGTAACATCTATTTTTATATATGATACTTTTGTATCACTATTTCTTTTCCTTCCATTCTTCTTTGAAAATTGTAATAACTAGCTTGTAAAAGTAAAGAAAATGCAGAGCAAACCCAGAAGATATCATTTTAATTCTGAATATTTGCTACAGTTTTGATAGATGTTCCTTCTCAGAGACCTGCAGCAGGCATCTTGCTGAAATCCTCAGGAAGAACCAGAGTTTGAGAGAGTTAAATTTGGCGTTTGACCATACAGATGACAGAGCAGTGGAACTGCTGTGTGAGGAGCTAAAACATCCAGACTGTAAAGTAGAGAAACTAAGGTGAGTGGGCAGTGTTTCTCTTTCAGTTCGATGTGTGTTGCTTTCTCTTGAGTGTTTCTGTTCTGGAAACATACCCAAGGAAAGACAGTTCCAGTTGCAATATGTAACCATATTCTCTTCAGTTCCTTCCAGACTACCACATTTTTTAAGATTCAATTCTATCTGTGATTATAATCAAAAGGCCACAAAGATGGTTTACTAGGAGGCGTGAGATATATGTCCCTACTGACTGCAAAGACTCTTAGCTGTTAATTCCTGAGAACCTGGCAGAAGAGCTAATTTTATAAATCTTCATTCAGACACTTGCATTTATGGCAGCAATTACCCTGATAAGAATATCTGGAGCTAGATTTCATAGATTTCGAGGTCTATAACTTCTGCTTTTGCTTTGCAGATATTTTATTCCCCTTTGTTTAACCTCTATGGAAACTTTTAAATTGGGACTTACAACAATCTTTTTGTTATTTGGGTGGATTATACCATCTTCCTATCGTTTCCTGGACTTTCTCTTTAATTCTTTACTAACTTCCTTTAATAGAATTAAGATCCTTGAGAGAGTTTTCTACTTACAATTTTTGGAATCTGCTTTGATATAAATATTGTCTTGCAAGTTATTTGCTAATCTACACTAAAATTTCTAATTTCCATCTACTTTCAAGAGAGCTTTCCCTTGCTAGAAATATTACTTTCATTATTATTAACATTACATACTTTGGACTTATCGTCCTTTGTTAACATAATTCTATATGGTTTGTGTTGCCAAATGTGCCTAATAGACATTTTCAATTACATTTCTTTCTTTCACTGTTTCTGATTGTGACATTTTGCATTGGGCTAGTTTTGTTTGGCTATTTTTCTTCTTCCCTTTCCACCTCAATAAAGACTTCTTTGAACCACAAAGGGGCATGCTGATGAAAGAAAAAAATGCAATCTTACTTTTTTTTTCTTTCTCTTTGATCACAATAATTTTTTTTGTTTTAAAAAAATTGTATCGCTCAATGCTGTTTCTTTTCTTTCAGTTAAGATAGCAATATGTGAATAACATGAATGTCTTATAACAAAGATACTCTTAATGCTTAATACTGAAGAATGAATATTCATTCATTTATTTTTCATTCATTCATTCATTATTTTTCATTCATTCATCATGTTAAAACTTTGTGTGCATTTCTCATAATGAATTTATTGTTTATTTTATTGTGTAACATATCAGATCTTAATGATATGTTATTAATCTTTTATTATTACCATTTGACTTGCTTTCATTTCATGAGTGCAGGTAGAAATACTAAACATAAGGTACACATTATTTTTCAAAAATGAATAAGAGAAAACAGAGTAAGGACCTTTCTAAGGTGGAAAAATCCCAGCAAGGTACCTCAGCTTCTTCTCCACAATCCCAAGACTCCTTCATAGGATGGTTTTGTGTATTGTAAGGTGATCTCTTCAGTTAGTTCAAGAGTAAACAGTAGGAAATGCAAGCAAATTTCAATTCGCTTCAGGCAAATATCAAAGACAGATATGACACATTTGTAACTCAAGTTGATTCTCAGAAATCAAAAAGTTGAAGACTGAACACTCAGAATTGTATACTTCAAAAATTTGAATAGACAGGGCTAAACAAATTGGAACTCTAAGTGGAATTGGTGGAAACTGATTTGTGTAAAAACCATGTTAAATATAGAGGTATACCAGAAGGTTTTGGTAAAGTAGCCTTCGAAAGGAATATAGAAAACTGAAGACTCATTTTGATCTCAGTGTGGATGAATCTGTAGAAATTCAAGCAAATTATGGAGTAAATTCCTGGATAGCATGAATAAGAAAACTGCCACATGACATGTAAAATTTACATATTTTAAGACTAAAGCGGCCATTTTAGAAGTAAAAAGAAAAGAAATTCCTTTGAAAATGGGGGGATTATAATGAAACTTTCACCAGAGACTAGCCCAATCTTCTGAGAAAGTGAAGGAATCTAAGATTCTTGACAACTGTTCTCCAAGATTAAAAGGTAAGAGACAAAAAGGCTATTCCATTCCATCTAGAGCTCTTTTGGAAAGTGCTAATGCTTTCATTCATACCATTCATGATGCAGGCAACATGCTCAACTCTTTATCTGTAATGCAAAAAGGTGTAAGAGATTGGAACTTGGACCACCAACTGGCATTTCTGGGCATAATGACTGAGAACAGGTAGAAGATCACAAGTCTGACCAAGCAACTCGTATTTCTTCATAGAATTAATTTAGAATTGTAATTATGGATCAACTCAAAGTATTTTCTACTAATATCTATGCCCTGAATAGCCCATTTAAAGGGAGAAAAATATTTTGCAACTTGAAAAAAATAAAGCACACTTGATATGTTTGCAAGAGACACATGTTAAAGAAGATCACGAGAACTTATTGGAACACAGCTTTCTTGCTCCAAAATTTGTGGCCTTGGACAGTTGGAAAAAAACGGATTAGCCACAAGTGAAAAATCTACCATGGTCTTTAAAAAACAAATTAGAGATGAAGAAGGTAGATGTATAATACTATATTTGCAAACTGAATTCAGTAAAGTAACAATTGCCTCTGTTTATGCTCCAAATGACAATTAGACAACATTTTATGAAAGATTTTTTGAACTCCTGCTTGAAATTGTGGAGGGTGCTATTTTAGAACTTGGGGATATGAATGAGGTTTTCTCTCCTTTTCTGGATAAGTCAATTTATCAAAAAGAAGTGTCAATAAACTTCCTCAAAATGTCCCAGATCACATGAGATTGTTCTCTCTTTTGGATGCATAGAGATATAAGCATCCTGCAGAGAGAGAAAGTATACTTACTCTTCTTCAGTCCAAAAATCATATTCAAGAACAGATATGTGTTGGCTTTCCAATTCATTGTTGACTAACATTTTTGATGTGGAGATGACAACTTGAAAATACATAGATCATAATCCAGCAATTGTAAGAATAAATAGAGAAATCCCTATGTTGAAACTTATTGTACTGTCATTATTGGAAGAGGAAATTTAAATTGAAATGTCAAAAGGAACTAAATAGTTTCTTCAAGGCTGACTTAGCTTCTGAAACTTCATTAACTATATATCTATATATTAAAAGATCTGAAAACATTGGAAACAAGTCATGAATTAAAATCAACCTTGGATCTAGAACAAAAGATAAGAACAAGTTTGATTTACTGGAAGTAATTTAAAGTTATACAAAGTTGAATTTTACCAGACAGAAATCTTTTAAAAAGGCAATAAACCAAACAAAATATCAATTATTGAAGAAACAGTATAAAATAATTATTATTTACAGTATATTTCAGCTAGAACCAAATTTGTCTCTGCAATGAGACATTCTCTAGCGATCTATGAAATACTTTTCTAAATTGTATAATAAAAAGGTATGTGATCCAGCAAAAATTGATCAGTAGTTAAATAGAATATTACTTACAAAATGTATTGCTCAACGAAAATAAGCTTTCAATCCATCTATAAGAGAAGATAAAAATTAAGTTAGTTCATCATTCCCTCACCCGGAAGTCCCTGAGACGGTTGTGCGTGATTCAGGGACAAAAGAAAAATCAGAGGTTGAGAGAGCTCAACTTGTCCCTTAAGAAACCAGATGAAAAAACCATGGAAATGTGGCATGAGG